AAAAATTTTTAGTCTCTAGTTAATTCATTCGAAAAAATCCAAATCTGAACTACCTCTCACCCAATTCGCACCAAGCTTTACAATTTATAACAGATAGGAACACACAAACCTTTCCACCCACACAACACAACCTGGCGAAAAAGCTAAGCTTGCAACGTAAAGCTCATTTAGATGTCTGCGTAATGGGTATTCCGCTGCCTACTAATTCGGGATACGAAAGTACAGAGGAGTATGCGAACGATTTGAAGTTTCTTTTGGTAGATCTCGGCGTAAATGTACGTTTTGTTAAAATCTTTGAGCGTAAAGAGGGTAACAAGCGTAGCACTACATGTGCACGTATCGGCACATTCGCTGACTGTGAAGAATCGCTGATGGCCGCTGACTTGTGGCCAACCAATGTGTCGATACGGCGTTGGGAGTATAAGGCTCCTGTCCAACAGGCGGGAAATGTGAAATCGCGAGTCTTTCATCGCAATCAGCGCCGAAAGACTCGCGTAACGGTGCAAACTCAGTGTCCAACCAGCCTCTTGTTAAATTTAAATTTTCAGCGTTTAGTAAAATAACTATAAAACTTTGCAACATTAATGGAATACTTTCAAAGTCGGCTTATGTAAAACATTACCGCAGTGACTGTGATATTGTTGGCTTGATTGAGACGTGGGATAGACCTGAATATCCCGATTCAGTATTTGCCGATTTGCGAAAGTTTAACGTTTTTAGAAGACCTGGAACACTGATCCTCACGGTGATGTATGCATAGTTGTGCGTAAAAATCTTAAAGCAGTTCGTCGTACAGATTTAGAAAATAATGACCTTGAACCGATTTTCGACAAAATTCAAGAGATTAATGTTTTGGTTGCCACAATTTATTTCACCCCCGTCTCGTGTAACTATTGACATCCCAATATACATTGAACATTTTAGAAGTACTCCGCATGAAAATTTTGGTCAACGCAGCAGCGGCCAGCCAAGTTCTTCGTCGGGTCGAACGGTCCGACATCACTCGCGTGGCCCAGCAGGCCCGAGACTAGTTTTGTATGGTGGTCAATCGGCCAATCAGCCGATTGTCACAACTGTAGCAGTCGGACCAACGGTCCAGACTCCGCCGGTACATACTGGGCCAAGGCCACGCTCCACTCCGCCGCCATACTACAACCCATATTACGGATATCCACCGTATACTGCGCCTAGACCTTCGAACCAGCCGCAGCCGGACCACAATCAGTGGCGATACCCACCACCGTGGGCATATCCGCCACCACCTTACGGATATCCACCGCAGTTACGGCGGTTATGATGGATATGGCGAACCGCCATATTATCCTCCAGCGGCAGAACCTGAACCCACGGTTCAGACGCCGACTGAACCATCATTACCAGCCCCAAAACCGGGACTTGAGGCATTCCGAACGGAACAGCCTCTGCCACCCCAGCCAACCGCATCGGGTAATCGCGATATGCGCGATTTCCCATTACGGGAATTTGTGGACGGGGTGTACACTGTATACGATCGGCCAGAAGATGTCCCACCAGCAATGGCGGCCCAACTTGGCTTCAACGAACCGGACCAGACTGGAGGGCCAGCGCTGAACCCAGTGTTGGCCGGGCGTGACCAGGCTGTCCCACCGACAGAACCTGTGTCCTCGCCAGCACCACAGCCAGGCGAGATGATATGTATGATCGAACCGGTATCTACGCCATCACTGCGGTCAGAGTCCTCGGACGAACTATTGGCCAATGGCCGAAGTCCACTCTACATCCTCCAAAAAAATTTGGCGAAGGTAGAGAACTCCATAAAGGAATTGGAGCAGATAATCCGCGAACTAAATATTCAGGACCCTCACCACCGTGACTTGGTCCAGCGGATTATCAAAGACCAGAATGAGTTCCGATGCTTAGCGCGCGATCTCAGCGAATAAATCGCAATCCGCCGGGCCCAGCATGAAATATTTCCGTTGCACGACCAAACTGGTCAGGCCCTACTGACGGCAGCCCGTGAAATGAGATGGCAGCTGGAACAACACAGGATGGCTCACCAATTCCGGATAAGAGAATCCGTGGCACCATCGCGCCCGCCTCCAGCGCCATCGGCACCACCTCAGCCGCTTAACTCGACAGTTGTAGTAACCGCTACAACAGGGGAAACTTCAGCCGCACCAGTGGCCCCGCCTGCGCCAACCGACGCGGCAATAGCCACTGGATCGGAACAGCGTGAACTAGCGTCATCCCCGAATGACTTACGGGTCATTCCAGAGCCAATGCCCCTTGACCGCGAAACATCACGCTGTGGAAGCTTTAAGTGAAGAAATCCGCGCAGTTGTCCGTAGCCTAACAGGCACGGACATTGCAACCATACGAAGAAGAGTTGCTTTGGACGCGGAACTTCAACGGATTTTAGAATACCTGATGCGACTCCGACGGGACATGCTGCGCTATATGGAGAAACCAATGGACACCGGCAACGCCGGACCACAAATGCGCAATTTTCTCAACCGAGGATATCAACTCGGCCTGATCGAACAAGCACTTCAACGCGTGTTGCCGAAACCCCGACCGGGGCAATCAACACGCGTAGCCCGAACTGGACTCCTGGTTCCAACTCACTCCTCAGACCGTCGACCGGCGGAAAAACTGAGACACCATTATAGGCGCATTATTCAAGTCTCAAATGAAAGACTTACGGCGGGACCAGGATTCAGTCGGCCAACCACTCCGTCCCAATCGGATACGGAGACCGACAGGAAAGGCTGGATGGCTGGATTGACATTGAATGGCTGCATCTGCCCAACCCAATCCCTGTACCAGGATTAACAGCCCAGCCTGATCATATGGTTGCGCCAGAACGACATTTTCACCCTAGACCTACGTCACTGGTACGGCCACCATAAATTGCGGAACGCTTGGAACAGATTATGCGAGCCACGACGGCTCGCCCTATCACTTCGCGAATGGGTGCTATAGCTAGCATCATACAGATGGCGGATCCCAGTGAACCAGGCCGCCGGACCCTTCGCTAACAGTGGGAAGACGAACAAGAAGCCTGGCGCCGAAGGTTAAGCGAAGTGGACAGTGGAACGATCCAAATGACAGTCCAAGTGGCGCTACACGTCAGTAACCTGATTAGAGACGCCGAGGACATCGATCGTCGCATGTCCAACCAAATAAGGGATCTAAGCCCATTTGACCCAGAAGCGGTCCGGCTGACCAAACAGCAGCAAAGCTTATCCCATCGGATAGCCCTGCCCAGAGAACTTACACCGAACAGCACGATGCCTACCGGCGATTCGTTGCTTGTTGTGGAGCACACCATAAGGTGGTTCCGCACATTTATCGAAGATTACTGGAAAGTCCAATGACCAGGCCCGTCAACAACGGAACGCCCAGGCGAATTCGATCCAGTTAACGAATGGCAACCAGACTCAGCGGCAGCGCCGACCATTGTATAAGCATCAGTAGCCTCAACATCAGTGGACCCAACTTTGGTCCAAGATCAAGCAGTGGCCCCAGCACCAACCGTGCCTGGGCCAACCTCAAGCCAACCTGTGGACACTGCCACACCCGCTACCGCGGACGACAGTATGGAAATCCCACCGCAGGAAGCTGAAACGGACGAGAGTATGCTTGATAAAACCTTCGAACTCTCGCCGGAGAAGCAAGCCCAAGAGTCAGCACCAGTCCAACCGACTGGTGCACCGACAAGCCCAATGGTCGTCGATGAGCCAACGGCATCATCAGACACCACGCCTACGCCAAACCGAATCGAAGGCGATATATCAGGTGGTACTTTGGTCGCCCGCCCAACGGCCAGGAAATCGGCCGGAGGAAAGCCTGACACATTGGAAAGAACGGCCACACCAGCTACAACTGGTGGCCCACAGTCGCCCAGGTTCATAAAGAAGAAGAGGACTCCTCCAGAAGCCGAGGAACCTCATTCGCAGCGGTCACTCCCAGCATGGAGAGGACCACCTATGGACTTAGAGCTTCCCGGCCCTACCTGGTCCGGACCGTCCATACTTAAAAATGCGGCCAGCCAACCGACTTTGACACTTCGTGGTCTACCGACCAAGAAGAAGAAGTCACCGCCGAAGAATTTCCCTGGGAAAGGACATGTGCTCTCACCACCAGAGGAGCGGCCAATGCCATCAGGGACAAAGGTACCATTGCGGAACGAGCTTCCGAAGAGTCATCGTATTCGGTTGACCCCAACGGGCCCAACCAGCCAGTATCAGATGGACCCGCATAATGAACTGGTTGGCGAGATCATGGAAGTCGATCTACGCTTAAACCTCACTGAAAAGGACATGCGCCAGCGGATACGCGCCGGCGATCCGACCTTGACTGAACAAGAGATTGACCGCACCAAACGAGGTTGTCAGTTATTGGTCCAGGAACGGAATATCCTCATCAGAAGATTCATGGCTATGAGAAACAAAAGCCAAGCCCTTCGCCAGCGCAAGCTGTCTGGTGAAATCATCGAACATGCGATGTACATTCGAGGGGCACACATTAATCCGAGAGCTGGGACAGTCGAACCGCGCCCCAGGCCAGGCCAGCCAATGGAAGACCAACTCCCACCGGAGGAGGTCGAAAGCGATGAGGAAGTCCCCCAATTCCCGGCGGATTATTATGGCATGCTGCCCAGTGAAGATGAAGAAGACTTGGACAAGGACGTCCAAAGAGTCTTGTATGAGACCGCACAGGCCAAATCTCCTCTACGGAGGAGATCGCCCCGTAAAAGTCGGTCCCCAGAAAAACGGACTTCTCCTGGACGCGCCACATCACAACTGGCGCGCATGCCAAGTACGCCGGCCCCAGAACCAGTAGCTCTTAGGTTCACACCGAGCCGGCCAGGTAAATCACCGGACAAGGAGAAGATGGACACTTCATCCTCCCAACAGCCGACAATGACCATAACGGTGGAACGAATCCCGCCACCCACGTAACCGGCAAAAATCGTTCTTGAACTTCCTACCGAACAGGTGGAAGCAGACTCGGCCTTAATGCCCATGAGTGCTCTCACTCCAACGGTGCAGAGGCACCTTGTGGTCCACGCCGAACACAATCACCCACGGCAGTATCCTTACCTTCTCAAGAAGATACAAGAGGCTAAGGACCAGAATAAGCCGGAGGATTACGAAATGTTCACCGAAATGCTCCGCCAGCTGGTGGTTAAGATGGTGCACGACTACTGGAACCGAAGGCGCAGACGTCTCTTCACCTCACCGGAGAAGGATCCAAAGATGGCAGAACGGCTATCGTCAACAGTGGTGCCACCGAAGACACAAGTGCCTCCGGAGCCCGAGCCGATGGACACATCCCCGTCAGGGCCAGTTGTGGCTACGCCACAAGCTGAGCCAGTGCAGGCGGGGCCATCGAAGGCCACTCCGACACCAAAAGCACCAGCGGACCAGATCCAACCAGGGACGAGCCAAATGGCTGTTGTCCCAACAACCTTGTCAACTATGCCAGCCAACGTGGACGACATACCCGTTGGCTAACCGATAACTTTCCCCAAGCTGGGACAATGGAAGATTTGGCGTTTGGCGCATCGGTGATCCACTCGGCCAACTCACAACGAGCTAAACAGCCGAGAGAGGCCAAGAAGCCAGAGATGGCCAAACCGGCCTCTCGCCAAACACACCTCAACCTTGTGGGTGCCAGGCGGAAACATCACAGGCCGCACCGAACCCGGAAGCCGAAAGGAACCGCCAGAAGAAACAAGAGGACAAAGACAAGAAGAGTCGTGAGGCCAAGATAGCCCAGCTGGAAAACCGGCTGTCAGGCGACAACGATGTCCAGGTCCTATCGGGCAGCCCGGACAAACCAGGCCCCTCACAACCCTTAGGCGATCCAAGGCCATTACCTCCCCTCCCATCACCATATAGGGAGGAAGACATCGAACCAGTCCCAGAAGGGGACCCACCCTCCGAGGAAGTCATGCTCCCATCACCTTGGGACGACGAAGCCGAACTTCCCGACCCAGGACCAGAAGCCACTTACATCGAAATCCTAGCGTGTTACGCCGACCAATGGGTGGCAGCGGCCAGGATATTGAGAAGCGAATCGGGCCGAGACCCTTACCAGTTTCTCGTCAGCGTTCTACGCGCCCGCATGGCATTCGGACAAGAATTTAGAGGACTTCCGCTCGCGGACCGTGTGCTGACGGCACCCTTTATGCGACGGCTGGTCACTCTTTTTCTAGACTCAGGCCTGCTGGTCCGCACGCACCGCGATTGGACCGACTTGGCAGAAATCCACTTGGCCCATCGGCCATCTGGAGTCTCGCGTAGCGCGGATAATTACTTCCAACAAATCTGCCGGACCATTGGGTAGTTACACGACCCAAGAGGTTCCACCTTGATGGACATCTCCAGGACGATCAACGCCCTTCAATGTAAGGGAACGATGGATCCGTGGAAATTGAACAGCCAACTTGTGAACGAATTACTTGCACTGGTCAGAGACGGCGTATTAGAAACGACCAACGCCATCCGCGCAGAACCATTGCGCTTCGCTGTCCCGGGATTCATCCCACAGAAGACCCAATGGTCTCTGTATGTGTCGCATGATGTTGGCACGAGATGGGATCCGAGCAGAAAGAAAGCGGTAGGAGCGAAGGACAAAGACCTTAAAGGCAGGGCAAGAGAGGCATATAACATGACCCAACTGGCCGAACTGCCAGGCCCAAAAAACCTGCCCCAGGAAAAGCCCACAAGACCATCGGTTACTCGGAGGGAGAACGCTCTTCGAAAGGAACAGCAGGAGGCAAATGTGCGTGCGGCAGGCCAACGGCCCTCGCCGCGGGACGCGGTGTCACTGCCTAACGCAGCTGGCCAGTCCCGACCGCCTTCATCGGCCCCATCAGCCTCTTCAATGAAGATTCGAAAGACTACGGCCAAGAAGGGGCGCGGCAAGAAGTCGCCAACCCCGCCACCTGACGACTCGGATCCTGAGGACTCTAGACCAGAGGACTCAGAGTCAGAAGAAGATGAAGAAGGGGAGGATCAAGAGGACCAAGAAATGGCATCCCAGAAGTCCGACTCCGAAGACTCTGATGACGATGACCAGAGCCCTGGTGAACTGACCATCAACGTCCCACCGGACCATAGCATGTAAATTCCTCCAGGCGACGAAAATTAGGCACCTACCGGTGACCAGAGCATGGAGCACCAGGGCGAAACACAAGGTCTCAACAAGGGTAACAGGGCGGCGCAGAAGGCGCAGGACCCAGTGACCGGAGCGCAGGACCGCCTGACTTGGTCGTACTACACGTGAGGGACAGATTCTCCCCAGAATCGGACTCATGCGAAATGCGCCATACCTTACAGGACCCATGCCCAGCCAAGCCACGCATTGGTTATGTCTCGCCACCGCGATCGACAGTGGCCAGGAAGTGGCCGGGCGGGATCCATCCAAGAAGATGAAGATCTCCAGCACGGACAAAGGATGGGCATACGTTAAGGCCGCCCTGCAGGCGTTGTCCCGAACGGGTACAACCTACGCCACAGGGGATATGGCCTATCAGCTCATCGAAAGATGGGAAGGCCCATGGCTGTCCAAGTCCAAAGTGAGGCAGCATGTCCAGATGGCATACAATGAAGGAGTCATCTTGCGAACTCACACGCCCAACGGCGATATCTTCTACACGTTCCCACCGGAAAGACGTGATGCGGCCCCTCAAGGATATTGGGAATGGCGCAACGCCATTTTCACTGTGCTGACCACCACACAGCACCCCCTCGGCCTCACACGCGGAGAAATCGCCAACCAACTGCTGGGCCATTGCCTGTTGTACTATATTGCGCACCACCCGCAGCTGATTGATGGAACGAAATACGCCTCGGGCGACGGCCGGGACATAGACCTATTCCCCATTTTCGAGGACGTCAGATATGTCGTCAAGAAGATGCTGCGCGAACGTTGGCTCGAGCAAACCGTTGATGAGAAAGAGGTCCAGCAGCGCTACCGAAAGCCGAAAGATCCAACTGATCGTTATGGCCCTCGTCCTGCCGATGTCCCACTTTGGCTTCCACCAAAAAGAAGCAGAAGCGAAAGTCCTATCACCAGCGACCCAGCATAGAACTTGCATAGGCATAGGGGGGGGCGGGTTGTAAAATCCATAGGGACGTAAACTCATAGGGCGTAATCATCATATGGACCAGTCCTAGAAGTTGACGTCCCCAGTTGTTCTGCATGTTTCATTTCTGTTACCACAGAGAATGGGACTTACCCCGCAGCCGAAGTATGAATCGAGATGCGCGGACTGCAAACGGAACAGTTTGGACTTGTCCGGCCGGAGGGAAAACTCTCGACGATAGTACTTCCCCTGCGCGTACCACTTGCGAGCCGGTTTTCGCGACGAAAATGAAAGAGCCAATTGCTTCTACCTAGAAGTGGTGAGAGGCAACTTCGACGCGTACTGGCACATGACCAACCGAGACGGACGCCACCTGATCCCCCTACTAAGGGATCATGAACAGATAGAGATCCACGATCTCTACACGCAGCGTAGCGGCGACAGACTCCCCGGCTGGAGCAGCATGGGCACACAACCGCCAACTCTCAGCCAAACTGCGTTAGAGAAGAAGGCAGAACGCGATTATCAACGTAACAGTCGGTCCCGTAACACGGGCTTGACCATTCATCAGGGCGCGGTCAAACGGCCGTCCAGAAAACCCACGACCAGTCCCACCAGCGCCGGCAATCGCCAGGCCCTCAGCCCGACGGGCATGAGGTGTCAACTTCGGCGACAGACGACCAGTTCATAACCGCCGTGAACAAACAGATGGTGGACCGGGTGGCCAAACAGCTAATGGAAGGAGGACTGCTGGACGCCCAAAAGGGCCAGGACGACTCGACGCCTACCCAACAGTATGCGCCCGCGCCACCGGCACCGCTACCGCGGCAGCCAGATGACTTGCACCATTACATTGAGAATCGACACCAGGACCAAACCGGTCACCAGAACCGTGGCCGTCTTCAGGAGCGCCCGCCACAAACGCGGACCTCGCCTGGAAAGAGGAAGGAGGAAGATGGCTTGGTTGTCTCCCGCACTAACGAGAGGCCTGAGCGAACCTTTAGCTCAGTGGCTTAGAATATCAGCATACATGTCCCAATGGACACGGATACCGCACCGCCGTCATCGGACCCACCGGCCCGATCTGACGCAAGCACCAGTGCAGCGGACTTTGGCCCATACAAATACGCCTCGGGCCAAGGCGTCAACATCCGGCCACGTTCCCATCGGGAGGTGACGGATTACATTATGAAGGCCATTCCATACCCACGGAATAAATGGGCCCAGATTGACGCCATCATCCAGGACCTGTAGAACTTTGTCAGGTCGTCCGGACTTGAACGGGATTTCCAGCAAAAAGACTAACCCCACACCTTCAGCATGGCTGAGCACATTGCAAATCGTGAGGAATACCCGATAGTCCGTGACAGCGCACTATCGTGCAGCACGGATGTGAACCTGTTGAGCGAACCCATTACACGTCCGGACTGGAATGACTTGTGCGAACTGCACCTATGCGATGACCAGTTGGATCTCGCCAAATATCTGGCTCAGTTCGTCCTACCGGACGCGAACGCCAGTTTCCTGGTCAAAGGAGCACGGGCTGCAATGCGAATCCCGCGCAGACCGGAGAATTATGAAAAATCCCACCGGGGACCTATATGTATTCATGGAACGGCACAGTCATGCGTATCTTCGCGGCCAGACTTGGTCATTTGCGAAGCCACTGGGAACTTGAGGTTGCCTGCCGGCAAGGGATGATCATCCCTCAACTCCTCACCCATGTGGCCCTGCTCGGAAACCAGATCCATGAGATCGAAGAAGGAGTCACGATACAGAGCGTACTGAACACCTTCAGGAGCCGCGCCAAAGAGTATCGCTATCGCCAGCCGAGCGACCACGATAAGGCAGCCGAGGCGTTCGTTAACCGAACGGCCGGGCGAAAACTTCCAACGAAGTTCCGCACCTAACGCTCAGCGGCATCGTCTTCGCAGAACCAGACCTTGGCTGACCAATGTGGTCAAGAAGCCCAACCGGCTGGTATCTCCAGTCACCAGTACTAAGAGACGGAAGAAGAACTGGCGCTCATGGAAGAAATCGTCGTCGACCCACTGCACCCAGAACGGGCCGACGAGTGTCATGACCAAGGACATTCCTGCATGTCGGCCATAGAAGTGGACCGATATTGGCATAGAAGTGGCCCGGTCGCCTAGAAGTGGGACCATAATGCTGAAGCGGAACTTGACCACCATCGTGGGTACAATCCAGCGGTTGTTACCCTCGCCCAACAAACGTGGCTTACGGCCATGTTACGTCTACCTCACCGGACCTTAATTCCTGAGTCTTAACCGGATTCCCCGGAATGGCTAAGGTTTAGCGGCTGGGACCATGAATTTGGCCTGGCCATCCCAGACCATCCGACGGAGTCCACCGGACCGAACTTGGCGCGAGATAATTTCCCCGGCATGGAAGAGATTCAGCGCCCGGAAGGTTTCGACGGCCCGCATAGAAGTTGCGACAAGCCGTGGACCAGTCCTGGCCCGCATATAAGTTGCGACAAGCCATGGGCAAGCCCTGGCCCATAGAAGTTGGACCAGTTCCGCTATGAGTCTGGGGACCATATGCGGCTCACGAGTCTAGCTGCTATACCAGGCAAGAGGGACCAGTGAGTTAATGGGAGCCACATAGAGATTGTGGTACACCCATTTTTGCATGCACCGCCCAGAGGCAAAACCAAAGATTTCACCAGCGCCCAGAGGCCAAACTAAGATCCTTCTAGTCAGCAGACCGGATACTCCGTGGTAAACGCCTACCGGCGCCCACAACTTAAATTTTTTGAAGTCTAGCCAGGCCCATCTGATGTTTTCGTCAGAAGCCTTTAATTTTTGTTATGGCCACGGTCTCAAAAAATTTGCCTATCTGACATGGTAGTTAACTCATGGCCCACGGCCAGTGAGACGGACAAGATTCAACGAATCTTTAACTTTGGCCCGCCAATTACCTTGGCGCGCCACCTTGGCTTGCCATCCACCTTGGACCATCGAAAAAACGACTAAGTCCATTTTGGCCCGCAAAACGGTGTGGCCCGCCGAAAAAAAACTAAGTCCATAACGGAGAGCTAAACGCCGGCCACACAGGGCCTTCACGTCCTGCACCCGCCAGAGACATGCCCCGACATACAGGAGCTCCATAACCCGCCCAAGGCATGTCAGCGACCGAGTTGGACCGCCCCAACGAGTTTGGTCCATCACACCACTTCGGTCATGGGACTTAGAAAATTTCCCACTATGGCCCTCTTGGACTTAGAAGATATTTGGCCCGAGATGCATGACCCAACCGGGGCGCACTCGTACTTAGAAATTTTTGGCCCGAGGCGCACGACCAAACCGGCATGCAGGGCCAAACCAGTTGAAGTTAGAAACCCAAATGGACCACCCGAACGGGATCGGTTCATTGTACCATTCTGGGCACTGGGAAGGAATCCGACAGGAATCCCACTCCCGCCAGAGCATACGGGACCGGTCCAACAAAGGCATGGTAGAGACTAAAGTATGGACCACTCTAACGGGTTCGGTCAATTGCATCATTTTGGTCATCCCCCATCTGACATGTTGCACCACTCCTTTCCAGAGGCCTTACTCACAAAAGCCTCTTATGGACCGCCCAACCGGGACTGGTCCATCATACCTTGAAGGGGACAAAACTGTCCTTGCAAAAGCAACGGTGCCTTCCATTCTTTCCGCACAGCTGAACTACTACACTGGACACTGTGGACATCTCTGGGAACCGTCGCCCCGGTTCCACAAGACCAGACCAATCCTACCAGATTAAGCGGACCGTTGACTAGGACCCGTGTGTGCAGAATCTGCCCTGTGGACAAGCCTAGTCGGAATGAGTATTTTTGTTTAGTTTTTAACCACACCTAATTTTTCTAGACTTAATAACCAAAGAAATTGATGTTCTTATTTAGCCTTCTAACCAAACGAATTGGCTTTGGGATCTCTAACCATGATCTTCCTTTACTTTAAATCTTACTTGAATTGTGATGTTTACTTTAATGAGCCTTTTAAACTTTATTTTTTTACTTCACCGACCAAAG